AGCTGGGTGTTGTGTCGGGCGCCTGTAGTCCCGGCTGCTCAGGAGGCTGAGGCAAGAGAATTACTCAAGCCCAAGAGTTTGAGGTTGCTGTGAGCTATGAGCCACAGCACTCTACCGAGGGTGACAAAGTGAGACTCTGTCTCAAAAAAATAAATAAATAAAAATTAATTAAATTAAATTAAAAAACAAAGAAACCTGCTTTCACCTGCCAGATGACTAAACCTTAACAACATGAATGGTATCTGGTGTCATCCTAGGAGGGGGAAAGAGTCAACTCTCGAAACTGTTGGTGTAGCATTTTGAGAGGACAACTGGACAATGTTCATTGACATGTAATGTGAACATATCCATCACCTTGGCAGTTCCACTTGAAGCAATCTACCCACAGAAATACAGTAGAACCTCCTGAGGTGACCCCCTCCCTACACTGACCACCTCTTTACGCCGACCTAGTTCTGGTAGACCAGAAGTGCCCCATGTGTACCTGTCAGTACAGTAGGCCTAGTTCCTTACGTTGACTACCTCTGCACATTGACCGGTGTGTCCTATTGTCCTACCATCCTTGTACAAAGGCACCAGTATGGGAAGGCCCAGTGGTGACCTACATGCCAGTCAGTAGGGCTTGATAAGATAAACTGTCTCTGTCCTGAGGACTGCTGTACAGCTGTTCAAAAGAAGGAAGTAGATCCGTTTGCATTGACCGAGGAAAATGTCCAGGACACAGTGTGATTTAGAGTCAACTTACAGGCAATGCCCGAGGCTCCGTGAGTAGGGCGCCAGCCACATACACCAAGGGCGGCGTGTTTGAACCCAGCTTGGGCCAGCTAAACAATGACAACTGCAACAACAACAAAAATAGCTGGGCATTGTGGTGGGCACCTGTAGTCCCAGCCACTTGGGAGGCTGAGGCAAGCGAATTGCTTAAGCCTACGAGTTGGAGGTTGATGTGTGCTGTGATGTCACGGCACTCTACCAAGGGTGACATAGTGAGACTCTCAATCAATAAATAAATTAAATAAAGAGCCAAGTTGTGCCATAGACAAAATAGAATGTAGAATAAAAATTAAGAAAAAGGGAGGGGCATGGTGGATCACACCTGTAATCCCGGTGTTCTGGGAGGCTGAGGAGGGTAGATTGCCTAAACTCACAGGTTCAAGACCAGTCTGAGCCAGAGCAAGACCCCCATATCTAAAAATAGCTGGGCATTGTGGCAGATGCCTGTAGTCCCAGCTACCTGGGAGGCTGAGGCAAGAGAATCACTTGAGTCCAAGAGTTGAGGTTGCTGTGAGCTATGAAGCTACAGCACTCTACTGAGGGTGACAAAGTAAGACTCTGTCTTCAAAAAAAAAGTCAGCCTCTGGAACAGCATGAGCACAGGCTACGGGACCAGAATGCTTAGGTTGGAGTCCTCGCTCTGCCACATACTTGCAGGGTGATTTGGGGGGACTCGCTCTAACTCTCTGTATCTCAGCAGCCTCAAGACAATGTGAATTTGTGAGTTAATGGACAGACGGCATTTAGAACAGGACCTGGCCTGGAGTAAATGGTATGGAAGTGTTAGCGACGGCAGTATCACAATTCCACCCACATGAAGGTGTCAGGAGCGGCCACCTTGAAGTGCGGACAGAGCGGGCTGCCGTGGACACACCCTCACTTCCTGATTCACCTTTCCGTATTTCCTTTAGGAGTGTGTATTACTTTCAAATTTTAAGAACAGTGAAACAAAATTAAAAAAAAAAATGATTAACTTGGGGCTCAGAATTGAAGCTTCACCCCCGAGTGGGAGGTCCTCCATCTTCCTGACAAACTTTAGGACAAGTCTGATTCTGAAATAAGTGGAACACTCGGAATAAATCTTTTACTTCAGGACAGGAGAATAACGGAAAGCTGCCTTCAGTCCTCACAACCTGGGGGGGGGGGTCCCTGTCCCTCTGTGGGCCCTGCAGACCCAGCCCAGCACTCCTCCGGCTCCTGTCTCCATTGCCTCTCAGCACAAGTGTCTGGCGCCTGGGGCACCCAGGTCCCCCCACCAGCACTGCCTCCATCTCCCCCACGTCTTCCCCCCACCCCCGGTCTTCCTTCCTGGTGGCTACTGGCAACTTTCCTGACCTCAACACCCCCCTGTCTGGGCACAGAGATGGCTCAGAGTTCCCCATCCTCCTGGTTTTTTTTTTTTTTTTCTCCAGTTTCCTCTGATGAAATTTGAGGAACTTGGGAAGGGTCAGGATCTTACCTGGAAGGCTTTGTGCTGGGCTCCTTAATAAAGGAGGGCAGGGTGAAGAGGAAGAAGATGAGCGCAGCCAGGAGCAAGGACCACAGGACCCCCGGGCTCAGGCGGCTGAGCCTCCGGGGGCAGGAACTCATGGCGGAGGGTCAGGCCCTAAAGGAAAGTTCTGCATGTCCTGGGGCTGGGTGCAGACAGCAGGGAGCCTCACTGCTCAGGCATCCTGGCCCCGCAGTGCACACCCTTTGTCTTGACAACAAGCCACTCTGCTAAGTCTATTAGTCTCTGCCAGGGCAGGAGGCAGGAACCGCCTTCCCTGCTTCAGGAGGACTTACAGGCTGGCGTGGCTTGAAGGAAAGGAAACTCCTTCTGTACAAACAAGTTTACCTTCCTCTTCTTTGTTTTTGCAATTACTGGATATAGATGTTTATGAGAAACGTACGTTCTGTACAGCCTCACCTTCCTGCCTCTTCTCCATGTGGGCAAAGCTGAGGTGGCCCCTCATGGGCTTATCATGGAGGCACTGGGAGACGCCCCCCAACACAGTGCCTTGTTCATGATGGACGCCCAACACAGGGTCGCTGCTCCACCCTCCCTGCTCCTGAAATCAGGACCACGACATGGATGACCAGCACTGTAGAGTCCTCACAGCCACTCTGGGCTATTATTGTTCCCATTTGATGGTTGAGGAAATGTCCTCTGTGAGCCAGCAGGCAGCCTGGGATCCCACAGGGAGCCACAGGCTGTGTGTGTGTGTGTGTGTGTGTGTGTGTGTGTGTGCGCGCGCGCACACGTGGGGAGGGTCCAACTGACCCAGAGATCGTGCAGCCTTCCCCCCATACACAGCAGCACCTCTGAGAAATCCCTCAGTCTGCCTTGAAAACAAAACCCCAAGTGAAAAATATACAACTCAGAGGAAAAAATATCGAGACTAGTGGTAGAAAACTTAGAAAATCCAGACAAGAAGCCCTGCATTAAATGCTGTGGGTTAATTTTTTAAATTTATATAAGTAGTGTATATTAAAAAATTTCATATTAATATGGGGATGGGGTTGTTAATTTTTTAAATATTATTTTCCAGGCTCACGCTGTAATTCTAGCACTCTGGGAGGTGGAGGTGGGCGGATCCCTTGAGCTCAGAAGTTTGAGGTCAGGCTGAGCAAGATCAGAGAGCCCCTTTCAACTAAGAATAGACAAATTAGCCAGGGGGGTGGGCACCTGCAGCCCCAGCTACTCTGAAGGCTGAAGCAGGAGGATCACTTGAGCCCAGGAGTTTGAGGTTGCTGTGAGCTAGGCTGAGGCCAAGGCACTCTAGCTTGGGCAGCAGAGTGAGACTCTGTCTCCAAAAAGTGCATGCGCGCGTGCGTGCGTGTGTGTGTGTGTGTGTGTGTGTGTGTGTGTGGTGTGGGGGAGGGGTTCCAGTGTGTTGAACTACATAGGTGATCTCAAGCACTTGAGGTGGGAATGGTGCCATTTGGCCAGATGGGGCTTTGAAGGTCCCGGGACCTGGGTTCATGGCTCACAGAGGGCAGAGTGCGTTTCTCCCCACACCCTTGGCTTTCACCCACAGCATACACCAATAAAGGGTTAAACCACCTTCCCCAGGAAGCACAACCAAGATAAGAATGTGCTCCTTTTCCTTTATCACAAGCCGTAACCCTTGGTGATATTCCAGGATGGGGAGGGAGCAGTCAGAAAGACCTCTTAGTACTGATTCAGCCTCTTTCTCCCTTTCTTACCCCCCACCCCATGCTGGTACCTTCACTCCATAAGCATTTTCTGAAGGGGCCTAACTGAGCGGCGTCCTAGCCTTAACTGTTCCTTCACCCTGAGTTCCCCGCTCTTGGCACCTATGATCACCTTCCTGCATCCTGGAGTCTGTGTGCAAAGTGGAGCTGATGAAGTACACAGTGGGATGGCATCTGTCTTACCCGAGGCTGTTGACTCTTTCTCTTTGTCCTGTGTTCTGAAGAAAGCACTGGCTGTGCTCTCTATTTCCCCAGGACAGGGGATCTGCTGGAGCTTCTGGGCTCCTCACTGCTTCATGGGTGGATTGAACTTGGAGATTGTGAAGCCAGCAAGTGTGGGATAATCCAGAGTTCTTGTTTCCTGGTTCTCAAGTTCCAGCCTGGTGCTGCTGTAGCACCTGGCTGGGTGGAACTGAAGCCAGAAAAGTGGCCTAGAAGACGAAGCTGAAGCAGGGCAGCTGACCTAGTCTGCTTAGCCCACATTCTATTCCTACACGCCTTCTGTGATTATCTAGTTAAGGTTTCACCATGATTGTGAGGATGTTTATCTCAAAAGACTTAGGGGGAGGTAGTAGCACATAGTATTGTTAATTGTTACAGTAAAGATTACTTTTATGTTTTCTTTGATGATTCTCTTACAAATTTTGTTAGAGTAAAGGTTACTTTTATTGTTATATTGTTAGAGTAAAGGTTACTTTTATTGTTATATTATTAGCATAAAGGCTACTTTTTATGTTGCTTAAATATTGTTACATTATTTGTAGGCTGGGCCTGATTCCTCATGCCTGTAATTCTAGCACTTTGGGAGGGTAAGTGAGTTCTCTGGTTCAAGACCAGCCTGAGCAAGAGTGAGACCTCATCTCTAAAAAATAGCCAGCATTGTGGCAGGCACCTGTAGTCCTAGCTACTTGGGAGGCTGAGGCAAGAGGATCACTTGAGCCCAAGAGTTGGAGGTTGCTGTGAGTTGTGACAGCACAGCACTCTACCAGGGCAACAAAGTGAGACTCTGTCTCAAAAAAACAAACAAAAAAATCTTCTGCGCTCAAGCGATCCTCTTGTCTCAGCCTTCAGTTTCTTTCCTTTTTAAACTACAACTTTGGATTTAATTCTTTTTGTGCACTAGCCAGCAGGAAATATGAGAACTGACATGCAGATAAAAGTTGCTAAAAGATAATTTTCAGTAAAAGGCAAAAACATGACTCTCTCACATAGAGATGAGACATGAAAATGTGTTAAAGATTTCATCCTACTCAAGAAAGAAGTAGGCAGATATTAATAGCAAGTCAAAAGTGACGTGCAGGCTCAGTGCCACAGCTCAGTGAGTAGGGTGACAGCCATATACACTGAAGGTGGTGGGTTTACGCACCACCCAAGCCTGCTAGGTAACAGTGACAACTGCAACCAAAAACTGGCTGGGCGTTGTGCGGGCGGCTGTGGTGCCACCTACTCAGGAGGCTGAGATAAGAAAATCGCTTAAGCCCAAGAGTTTGAGATTGCTGTGAGCTGTGATGCCATGACACTCTACCGAGGGTGGCACAGTCAGACTATCGTTTTCTGAGTCAAAACAAAAAACAAAAGAGACTGCAGAAGCACAAATTAATTTAGATGAGTAAGGGTTGTTAAAATGAATTGAATGGGGGCAAAACTGGTTTTTCCACTGGGAGGAGAGAAATCACAGGTCAGAATTTGTGCGCCTGTCAGTACTTAGAGTTCTGAGTTGTATGCTCACTGTGCTCACTCAAAGGCATCTGAAGCCTAAAATTAGCTGTTGTCCTGCCAAGGCACACTTTCCCATTGATATACAACAGCTTTCTAGAATGAGAGTGACTTGGAGTCATTCCAGGATTGGAATCCTCAAAAAGTGTCAGCTATTGGCTCCTCTCTGCTGTAAGATACACTTGCTGACTTAGGTGAATGCAGGATTAATCAGAAAAGGTTCAACTTGCTAGAAGTCAGCTTGCTGGAGACGCTGGTATAGGGGAGGAAAAGCAATTTTCTTTCCACCCTTCTGAAACCATCCTCAGCGAGGGCCCCGGTGACAGAAGACAGATTAACATGAGAAAGACAAACATTAGTTTAGTAACATGTGTATCTCACATAGACCATGGGTGATCTCCAGAGAGGGGAGTAAGTCTCAGAGTGGCTTAGAGCCCTGGCTTATGTAGCACCTTCCACTAAAACACAAAGAAAGGTGTGAGATCACACCTGTAATCCCAGCACTCTGGGAGGCTGAGGCGGGTGGATCACTTGAGCCCAAGAGTTTGAGGTTGCTGGAAGCTGTGATGCTGTGGTACTCTACCAAGAGTGACAAAGTGAGACTCTGTCTCAAAAAAAAAAAAAATCTTGTGCAGGCATACCTCAGAGATACTGGAGGTTTGGTTCCAGACCACCACAATAAAGTGACGTGTGTCTGTAAACGCGTTTTTGTAAAAAATGAAACTATCCACAATTACAGTGCTCAGTGTACATCTAGTTACCAGCACAAAGAAGAAGCATCACATTTCATACGTGGATGTCGCGATCTAATTTATCCGCATTTAAGATCGACACGAGTTGTTTCCCAGTGCATAATGTTCCTTAGAACTGTGGCAGATACTGTGTTGATTTGGGAGCGTCTCCAGAATCAGGAACTGGGAGCAAAACAGACAATCAACCCAAGTGGGAAAATGTGTTTTGGGGAAATTTTTTTGCTCACTGAAAGAAGGAATTGGAAAGTTAATTAAGAGGTCTTTCTTTTTTTTGAAACAGGATCTCATTATGTTGCCCTTGGTAGAGTGCTGTGGCGTCACAGCTCACAGCAACCTCAGACTCTTGGGCTTAAGCGATTCTCTTGCCTCAGCCTCCCAAGTAGCTGGGACTACAGGCGCCTGGCTATTTTTTTGTTGTAGTTGTCATTTTTGTTTAGCAGGCCCAGGCTGGGTTCGAACCCACCAGCCCTGGTGTATGTGGCCGGCACCCTAACCACTGAGCTATGGGTGCTGAGCTAACAAGTCTTTTTTCTTACCTAAGCACCTGCACTGCTCAAACCCACTTTGAATCAGCGATTGCCTCCAAAGAACCTGCAAATCTTCACAGCATCCATCCACTTTTGACTTGGAAGACACAGGGTAAGAGAGGTGGAGAAGCCCTTCTCGGGGGCCTGAACAGTGTTCCTCACCAACACATATGAGATGACGCTGCACCAGTGTCGAGCCCCAGATCTAAGTGACAGGTGCCTTTTTCTTTAATAACTCCGTGTTTGTGATATGAGGCCTTGTAAAGAGTAGAGCCTGGGATGGGATTCTTCTTCTCCAAGTATAAAGATGATATTGTTGGCTCGGCGCCT